TTTTCTGCACTTACCTATAGTCAGCTTATTTGATGAGTTCCTTGCATATCTAAAAATTCTGATGGGTTTTTTCTTGAGTGTTACTGGCGAATGGTCTTCCCACTGTTAATGTCAAAGGTAGTGGTCACGTGGATAAATTCAATTGTAATACTCAAACTATTCATCTCAAATAGCCATATTAGCATATCTTAAGTGGTAAAACAGTAATTTACTCCCTCAATATGTGTCGTTAGCATTCTCCTTTATGTCGTTAGCATTCTAGTTGTCACACTAGAACAGCTAGAATGTTGGTGGAGCTTCTTTCAAAACAAATATACAAAAAAATTATGATTATTACCGATTTTACTATGATTTGTCATTATATGGGTGAAATAGGAAGCACTTAGTATCTAGGGTGAGCGTGATAATATCATCAGCAATAAGCTAGCAGCAGTCAGTTCTGAACTTTTAGTCGTTCAGGTAAGTGCAAATTAATTATGTGTTTTCCTTTTAGGTTATTGAGTATGGTAGTAATAGGCTTAATTGTGTTTGTTTTGATGGCACCACAAAAACCCATTTGATCGGCTAAGCAACCCATTTGATTAAGCATAACTCATTTATGATGAATTCCAAGTTAATATTCAAAACAAAGAAGCAAAATTCTGATACATAATGTCATTAGAATCAAAATGGTCCAAACCCAATTGGGTGTTACAATAAAAGCTTACCTTGAAGGCTCTGTTCGAGCCATTTTGATTACCCACCACCAAGAGTAAGCATTTGATGCAGCTCCTTTAGTTTAATTTTTTAAGATTTTCTATACTTGTGGGCTTCCTGAATTATTGGTTGGATATCAATTGGATTTGTACTACTGGTATTACTATGCAGAATTCACAAGTGTTTTTTGCTTTGTTTCTCAGTTGAGGGTTGATTCTTTTCATCAGGTAATATGCCATTGACTCATCTCTGGCTGCTAACAATTCCAATGTTGATAATTCTAGTATTCAGGCTATTATGCCTATTATCTCTCAGCCTGATCATGAACTCATAAACAACATGGAGTCTAATATATCCCTTCTTTGACTGAAATCCAAAGATGATGCTACCGTTCCAAAGGAACAAGCTACTCAGACTAAGAGATACTTATCGGACTCTGAACCTATGAGAGAAGCAAACACTTCTTTGCAGGAATTTTTTACCACGTCTAAGGAATTCTCTCAAGTGTTATCTACAGCTTCGATATTCAAGAACCCCTTTACATCTAGCTGTGCCCAGAAATCTAAAGCTTCTGAATCCTACAAGGAGCAGCCAGATACATCTGTCAAAGTACAAGAATCGAACTTGAAGAGCTCCAGAAGGGTTACTAGAGCGTTGGCTCGTTCTTCTCAAACTTCTTCCATTGTTAGCCATGATTAAGAACCTCTTGTGGAATATCAGAGGCATAGGCAACATCAAATCAAAAAGGAGGGTTGCCAAGCTTGTAAAGATGTATAATGTTGATTGCTATTCTTGAACCTCTTCACCATGCTAATAAGATTCAGGAATTCTCCAACAGAATTGGTTTCCACTTTTCATTGGCAAATCAAGAGGCAGATGATCAAATATGGCTCTGTTGGAATCATGAAGTGAATGTAGTGCTTGTCGACGCGTTTGAACAGTGTATCACAGTCGACATCAGCTTCCTTAATTCTGATCTGGTAAGGCTTACCGTTATTTATGCAAAGTGCTCCATTCAACGGCTTCTTTGGGAAAAACTTCAATTACTGTCCTAAGAATACAAGGTCCATGGATGGTTGCGGGTAATTTGTTCGCAACTTACTTCATATGTGTCTGAAAAACTTGGTGGCAGACCTCCAAATCTTGTATCTTTAGAAGAATTCAATGCAATGATTAATGATTGTGGCATCATTGACTGCGGTTATGAGGGCAGCATACCTGGTCGAATAACCAAGAGTGGGGGCTTTGCTTTGTTTGGGCGAGGTTGAGAGAGTTTTCACTAATCCGGCTTGGGCTGATGTTTTATCCTATACTATGGTTAAAGACTTACCACGCTCAACATCAGATCATTCTCCTATGCTTATCCAGATTGACGAAGGTGTGTCTTTTCATCCATCTTCATTCATCAGAACATGTTGATTAAACACCCCGACTTCTTACAAATTTCAGAGTATTCGTGGAATTTGCCTGCTTGGGGTTCCCCTTTTGAGTGACATATTCAGAGACTTAAGAGCGTAAAACAGCGAAAATCTGGAATAAGGATATCTTTGGCAACATCTTTGATAATGTGAAGAAAGTCGAAGACAAACTGCTACAAGCTAAAATAGCTTTGGAACATTGTTGGACTGATGGGAATGAAAAAGCTTTTAATGAAGCCAAAGAGGATCTGAACCATACTCTTTCTCATGGAAGAGACCTTTTGCCGTCAGAAATCTGGTATTCAATGGCTTAAAGAAGGTGACAAGAACACCAGATTTTTCCATGCGGTTGCGAGCAACAAATTGAAAAGAAGCCTCATTAGGAGAATCAAGGATTCAAAGAATACTTG